AAATAAATTGAATGAATCAGCTTCTGTCAACATATGAGTTCATCAAGTCGAAGCTCATTCTCAAATGCCAAAGTTTGTTATTATTATGTCCTTTTAATCAAGGAAAAGTTATCTTGAAAGTACATGGAATTCAATATGTACATTTTGATTAATTTATAAAATAATTAGATTCCATATACTTGAAACGATCGACTTATTTATTATATTAACTAAATATAGAGAAATAATAATGAACCCATAATAAATATATTAATAAATAAAAGAAAATTTTAGAGCTAATCGTTGTACAAAAAATGGATTTGGTAAAGTTATTAATATTAAGGGATGACTTGATTAAGGTACATATTTTAGGGTGAAGCGAAAGGAATCTAGATTATGGCTAGCAGTAGAAATTAGACTTGTCTACCTGTGCTCAGTGCTCTGGTAATACCGAAGGAGATCCGAATAGACAAAATTGCTGTGCAAGGCAAATATTGTCATGTCAACTAACCTGGTTTTTAGAACAGAATTGACACTGGAGAAATAGCTTCATTGAGAAATAAAATAAATATTTTTATCGATACGATACATCAGATTAAAACCCTGTAGATATTTTTTAATCTGTCAGAAGTAAAAATAATTTACTATATTTTTAATATCTCTAATTATGACTTTGAAACAGCATAGTGAAACGTTTTCTGAAAAAAAAAAAATAGTCAGCAATTACCAAAAAGAACAAATTACTCGTAGATTATCCAAAGAAAGTGTCTATGCTGAGTTGAAAGGTTCAAAGTCGGGTGAATTTATTACCGGATTAAGAGTAGATAGTCTCACGATCGAGAAGGACCAAAAATATTTGCACGCTGTAATTCGGTCAGCCCTTCTTCCTATTTTTTATCAAAATTGAAAAAATTAGCGTTAGAATTCCGCGATTTTAATTCCAATTTGGAAATTTTAGAGACGTGAAAATTTGCATACATATTAATATTAATATTTGTAAGGACCTAGGCTGCAAGCTAATCTATATTTGATTTTATTTTGTCATACAAAATTCAAGAATGCGTCTGATTACTTTCTTCCAGAGGGTGTATGCAGGACGAGAGAACATTGAAAATAATTAGCATACAGCCTAGTTCTAATTCATAGCGCTACTGTGTTATTTGAACTTTAAATAGATATATATTTTTTAATTGGTACTTAATATGATTTTTTCCCTTTTCAGATAGGGTTTGTTTAAATCTTTTCATATGAAACTTTGCGTATATCCTTAGGCCATATGGTTAATTTAATATTACAGCAAATTTTAATGACTCTTACTATTTATAAAATCCAACGGCAGTGATGCGGAATGTGTTCATCAACGATGCTCAACTTCTTGAGAATCCCAGAAAGTTAAGATAGGCTCAACAAAATTGAAATTTTTATTAAAGATTCACAAAAGACCCTAGCCAACCATTGATTCATTATTGTAAAAGTTTTCGACAAACGAAATCTTGTACTGACTTATATCAACCAAAATGTCAATAAGATGAATTCTGGATATGATTTTTTACTATTTCAGTTGCAAAAGGTGGTGTGGTGTTTAACAAATCAGAGTCCCTGAAACATTTATGTATTCTCTCATTATGGCATTATTATTATTATACAAATCGTGTAACTCTAACAACATATTGTTGCACAATTGAGTAAACAAGTTAACATGCAATATTTTAGAATAAATAAGTTCTGGTTGATCTTTTTATTTTTTTTTTTTAAATTATTAATACGTTTTGTAACTTGGCAAATATTTGATAAATAATAAATGATAGAAAAAAATGGTAAAGAAAACGAAAGAGAAGAGAATGAGAAAGAAGAGAATGGAGATCAAGTGGGATCTAATAATTTTAACTTAGATCTGCCAGAACCAACACTTGAAAATTTGGCAACTATACATTCAATAATCAAAATAGCAAGCGAATCGAGTGAATTAGAAAAATACCAGTTGGCCAGTTTTTTGCTCGAAGTATTTATTTATTTTAGTATTAATAAATTATGCTGGTAATCTTCTGATAATAGTTAGCTGCTGATAAACTTGGCTTTTTAAGTCATTTTACAGATATACAAAAGAATATTTTATTGAAAAGTGAAATTAATTTATGCAAATGAAACTTGGATGAATTGAAGGATGTTTGTTTGCAAAATATTTGCATATGGTAAAAATTTTTCGATTGAGTTTGAATTATTGGGTAAACCACTTTATTAGCAATTCTAAGAAGAGATGACGAAAGAATAGATTTATGAAAATATTCTTAAATGAGTGAGAGATCAAAAATATTGTTAAAAAATTTCTCATTACAAAATTTCACAAATTTTGAAAGAGCAATAAGAGAATTTATTTTTGCTAATAAGAATAAAATTATGTCATATCAAATGCTTTTTCGAAAAATATTCAGGCTAGACTGATTGAAAAGTCTGCACAAGAATTATAGAAAGTTAAAATTTTTTTATATCACAGTAGTGGAGATGGTTTAACTCTATTTTATTTTATCGAAAATGCAACAAAGTCAATAAAAAAACTCTAAATCCAGTACAATTAATTGATGGCCATAATCTGCTTGATTGGAATGGACTCTATAAATATAAACATACAACAGGAATTTTATTGTTAATAAAGTGACAGAAACGATATTAATACTGCACAATTTAATTATATTAATAAAGATGGCAAAATTATTAACAACTTGAAGATTTATAATAACATCAATATAGTATATTTGAATATTAATTAAATCAAAAATGCAAACCAATTTTTTTTTAAAAAGTTACATTCTCTATAAAAAATATCAAAAAAAAAAATGGTATCATTAAATGATTATGAAAACTTATTCGATTCAGAATTTAATTATGATGTGAGAATTCAAGTTGGTGAACAAACAAAGATAAAAGAATTTCATGCACATTCATCCATCCTATATTCTCATTGTACATATTTTAAGAATGCTTTGACTGGTGCAACAAAACAAGATGAATGTGACATATATATAAATCAATCATTATTAACATATATCATTTAACAATTCAAAGATTTTATATACAGGTAAGTAAAGCTGAATTTGGTAATTACACTGATGATGATGCTCCGAAATTATTATTTAGCTGCTGCTAATGAACTTTGTTTTAAATCATTATATTTAACAAAAATCTAATTAAAATTCTATGATTGATTTTTGGAAATGAAAATTTTGCTGAATTGAAAAATTAAAAATATTGTGCTATTTCAGTTATTTGGTGTGTTCTTTGCCTTTTTGGTATTAATGGTGATGTTGGTTAGATACAGATAGTAGTAGTGATGGGCGTAAAAATTATTTTGAAAAATGACCAAGTTATTAAGTACTTAATAACTCTATTATTAAGTGTTAAAAACACAAACATGCAGATCTCTTATTGGTAACTGTTTAATCAAATATTAATTTGATAAACAAGTTAATAATTAATTTAGTACTGTGCATAAAATTCAGTGTGCAGAGTGTGCATGCTAACCAAATTTGATAAATTTTTTCCAAATCTGCTGAATTTGGTTAGCACAGCACATTCCACATGCTGAATTCTATACACTGGGATTGATTGACAAAATGGATCTTTTGGATTAATAACTCTCACTCAGAGTGCAACAGTTAATAAGTGGTTATTAACTATTAATAACTTGGAGTTATTAAGTGTAGGGTTAAAAATTCCCATCACTAGATAGTAGTGTTAATGATGGTAGTGAATCATTAACACAAAAAAAAGATTTAACATTTGCTGTGTCACGATCTCCTTCCAAAACTCGCAAATTGTGCGACTTCCGTGCAGTTTTCTCGCCAATTGTCTCCTTTAGCGTCTAGCCACGCCTGGTCTTTTCGGTTTTTGGCACGATCAACATTTTCACCTTATTTAGCAAAAATTGTGTCATACGACAAATGTTTTTGTTTTATAAAACAGGTTTGCAATTGTAATTGAACTGAAAAATCTTTAAACCTAATTTTTTCGGAAGGAATTTTTTGCTTTCATTGGGTGGTAATTTCAGAAAAATTTTTTTTTTTATTTTTCTGAAAAAAAATTTGATCTATGTAATTTTTATTGCGAAAAAAAAAATACAAATTATTCAGTGTCACAACTCTCATCACAGTTGTCGTTTACCACTGTTTCATTCTCATTATTATCATCATCATTTACAATGTTGTACAAATTTTCTACTGCATCCGTATAACCTTTATTGTTGCTGACAACTTCATTCATTGTATGTGTCAGTTTTGTTGCTCTTGATGTGCTTGATTCTTCCTGTGTGTCATGGTCTGCACTTCTTCTTTTTTTATCCACTCCCTGATGTGATTTGTGGTCTTTCTCTTGCTGTTGGAACTCATGAATTGTTCCTCAAAATCCATATGTTTGAATTTTAATGCTTTGCATGGGGATTTCTTATCATCGTTGTTGTTGGTCTTTTCAACCCTCGGGTAAGTCCACCTGATTTCGGCTTTATCAATTATTCAAATAATTATATAGGTGGGCTTGGTAGAAGTAAGTGTTAAAGTCAAGATCTATTTGCAAATCAAGTTTCCAAAA